CAGAGAAAATCAGGACTCTGTGCTAGATTATTTTTTGAGGAAAAGTAACCAGAGACCCGCCGATGTGAAAACCAAGAAATACTAACAAGACAAGCTGAGGGACCAGCAGTTAGCGTAATGGCTATGTCGCTGGACTCCCACAGAGTCGACCGTGGTTCGCGTCCCAGACCCGGTGGCTTAAAACTCACGCCGGGCATGTGTGCCTGCGTGCCCAAGATCCCGAGAGGAGAATGGAGAAGGGATTGTGGTGTGGCCATCCCCCCTGGGGGGTGATTTCTCGCTTTCTGTCTCTCTGTCTCTCTCTGTCTGTCTGGCGAGCGCACGCGCCCTATAGCAAAAACCTCTCAAAAAAAAACACAAAAAAACAAGCACAAGCTGAAGCACACGGTAAAGAATGAATGCCTGGTCTCTCGCCTGCAGAAAACACCAGTGGGCTGAGGGACAGAGTTGGGTTATGGGGCAGGGCCAGTCACGGAGCAGCCTTTCAGCAAAGTCTGCAGCAACTAACGAGAAACTGTGCAGAGCATTCAGTGGAAATAAACAGAAACCACCTACGCCTCAGTCTTTCCACCCACATTCATACTCATGATGTCAGCAGCACCAAGACCCCAAGTGCCAAGATCATATGGCTTCCAGTGTAAGTGCGTAATCCTGTCAAACTTTGATTAAGTGGCATGTATTTTAACTTAATAGATTTGTGTGAAATACATACTGATAGAATATGATCAAGTCAGCTCTATACACAAACACATGGATGATGCATACTTTTACACAGAGAAATAAATGTTTTGCTTGGTGCATAAAAATACATAATAATCACTGAATTTAAAAACGATAGCTTTGGTCATTCATTCATTATAACAAATAAGATACACATATTTTTTCCTAAACTATGGTCCAAAGTATAATATTATTAATATCCACTATAGTTTATTAACATTTTAAAAAATGATTTATTTAATTTTATTTATCATCACTTTTTTTTTTAATTTGAGAGAGAGAGAGAGAGAGGGAAAGTGAGAAAGCAAGCCACCAGGTCGGAGACTTGAACCACAGTCAACCATGTGGGAGTCTAATACCTTACCCACCATGCCACCTGATGGCCCTTGTTTATTCACTTTTATAAACCAAGTGATAGAGCCAGACCATTATTACTTTAATCAATTCATCACTTCACTGAAAGTGAAATCTTAAGAAAAGAATTTAACCGCAGACAACTATGGCAGTTGAACACATAACTCTTTAATGTATAAATTGCCAGTACTCATTGAAACTATTTTCCCTGAACAATAAAAAGTAAATAAATGATATAAATGCTTACAACACCATAATCTTCTAGAAAAAAAAAAAATCACATCAGAATGACATAGTATCAAAACAACAATCATATATAATTTATTCATATAAAGTAAATAAAATTTTGGTATTAATACTCAGGTTAAACCTATTACAATGTAACAAAAGGCCTCTACCCTACCCTAATAGGAAAAAACCATGCCATAAAGTACCATGCAGAAGAGGGCAGTTGTCAGGGACTAGCCTGTGTGCGGAACAGGAGAGATGCCCCAGACAGCCCAGGTAAAGGGGAAAAGCTAATGTACCAGATTCCAGTGTTTAAGGCCTTTAGGGGATACACTCCAGCCAGCAAGCAAGACCCAAGTCTCCACCTGGCAGGGCAAGGTTAGGCTCCACTAACCAGGTGTTTACCCCACTAAGAAAGAGTCAGGGTCAAAGCTTTATCAACCATCAAAATTAAAGAGTGAGACTCAGCAGCAGGGTAAAGCAGACGGGGTAGAATAATCGAAGACGAGTCAAATGAGGTCACATACCCACACAAAGAGCCTAGCAAAAAAAAGTCACCATGGCTCCCAGCTACCAGGAAATTGTGAAGTGATCTTGATATTGATAATAATGAAATTAGAATACCCTTCAAGCTTAAGGAAGGAAATCCAGAAATAAAAGTTACAGCCCAGGGCAATTTTAGATTTAAGTAGATAGCTGATAGTCATTTTCTTAGGCATAATCAAATATTGTAACATGTTTAAAAATTGATTTATTAAAGTTTATACTCTTGCATAAAGAGCATTCAATCCCTAAAACCATGAACTGCCCCCAGTCTCATCTGTTAATAGGGCCAATTGCAGTGAGTGTTTAGGATACGGTCAACACATTTAGCAAACATAGTCCAAATGTTATTCCAGATAACCAACTAAAGAAGAGCTCATTTTTGACATAGATTTTATGCAAAATATTTTCAAAAACAACCAAGTTCGGTTATGTTAGCAACATAAGTTTGGTTATGTTGTGCAACCCTAGGTCTCATACTCGGTAACTACTGCCAAACAGAAGGGGGAAAAAAGCTTTTTTAACTGTGGGAAGAAAAACATGGGAAAAAATTTTCATAATGAAGACTAAAGAATCTCTTAGAATTATTCTATTCTTGGTTTCTTTGCTTTCTCTCTATTACAGAAGTTGAAAGTGACCAGTCATTTATATCAGATGAAAGAAAGGTAAGAGAGGGACCAGCAGTTGGCGTAATGGCTATGTCACTGGACTCCCATGTAGTCAACCACAGTTCGAGTCCTGAACCCGGTGGCTTAAACTCACGCCAGGCGCATGTGTGTGCATGTCCAAGCTCCCAAGAGGAGAATGGAGAAGAGATTGCAGGGTGGCCATCCCCCCCAGGGAGTGATTTCTCACTTTCTGTCTCTGTCTCTCTCTGTCTTTCTGGAGAGTGTATGTGCCCTATAGGAAAAAAACCTCTCCAAAAAAAAAAAAAAGAAAGAAAGAAAGAAAGAAAGAAAAGAAAAGAAAAGTGAAAGAGGGAGAGAGAGGGAAAGAAGAGATAGAAAGACAGAATGGAGCACTCCCCACAGGGTCTGATCATGCCGCAATTGTTTTCCTCTAGTCCTCCAGCCTGTCAGATCCTGGGTTCTCACACAATACCCAATATGTTTTAAAACGACCAGGCCAGGGATTCGAACCTTGGTCGCCGTGTTGGATCCAGCTTCTCTTGAGCAGCACAATTACCCCTGTGCCATGGAGCTGACCCTCACTTGGGCTGTCTTTTGATTATTGAGTTGTAATAATTCTTTATACATTCTGAGTACCAGAAGCATTAGATACATAATTTGCAAATATTTTCTCCCATTCTTCAGGCTGTCCTCTCACTTGCACTATTTTATTGAATCCTCACAACCATATCAGATAGTTCTCTGAGTATACCCCATTTTACAGATGAGTAAAAAGTTTTAATGCTGTTCATTTCAGAATTGCAACAGAGAATATAACTGAGGCAACTAGCCTCCCCACAGCAGTAAAATGTACTGTGAGTAACACTGAACTTCTTGATGTGATAGCAATAGTTACTAAACAGAATTAAAAATAATTAACTATAAAAGAAACAGGATTACTGATGCTTTGCACAGAAATACTAGAGGGCTCTTCTCTTGTTTAGACCAGTCTCCTTAATTTGAGAAGAAAGACTACCTTAAAATAAAGTACATTCAGCCTTAAGAAGCAAAACTTGGCCTCTGAACAGTGTCTATTCTTTACAATTGTAGGAAACTCTTACTGAGTTATGTAGTTGCAACAAAGGAACTCAGAATACAAGTGGTATTTTTGCTGAGATCCAAACATTGTAAATAGTCACAGTGGGTGTTCTGTTAGGCGGAGGACTGTTTCATAGTCAACAACCCCCTCTTTTCAGAATGTTTGCCTGCCTTAGCCCTGCACTACACTCTGAGATGATGAACAAAGCCATTTTGGCAACTGAGATGGCATTCCAACCAGTCATTCCTTCTCCTCTTATTTCTGCCACCAGATATGTTAAATATAAAAGATAATTCACAAACAATTTTATTATGTCTGTAGGATTATGTTCATGCAAAGTAAAGGTTAGCAGAATAGTTAAAATAATATGCGAGGGGCCAACAGGTGGCATTGTAGTCAAGATGTTGGACTCCCACAAGGCCAACCCTGGCTCAAGTACCAGACCTGGAGGCTTGCTATCTTACTTTCTCTGTCTCTCTCTGTTGAATACATAGGCCTTATAGAAAATTCTTAAAAATAATAATAACAATAAGTAAAATTAAATAAATATTTTTATATTAAATTAAGAAAGAAAATAACATCCTAGATCTACCAGCACTGGCACAGAAAGAGATTTAAGATGTTTAGCTAAGGCAAAGTACAAATCTGTAAAACAACAGAAATAATATTAGCTTGTATTTATTAAAAGTGGCTAATATAGGAGCCAGCAGGTGGTATGGTGGTTAAGGCAGCGGGATCCCACATGGCCAATGCTGCTGTTCAAGTCTCCCAACTTGAAAAACACGCTGGGCAAGTCATGCCCAAAATCCATAGGGACAATGAAGGAGAAGGGATTGCAGTGTGCCCATTACCCCTGGAGGGATGATTTCTCACTTTCCCTCTCTCTCTTCCCCCATACATGCCCTACAGCAAACTTAAAAAAAGAAAAAAACACTATAAATACATTTTATAATACATATGCTAGCAAATGCAACAGACACAGCCCCACAAATAATCTAATGATGGGGTCCTCTCTCAGGAGTAGTATATAATTTTTTAAGGAATTATTTATTTAATTTTATTTATCAATTTTTTTTTTTAATTTGCTGCAAGAACTCACCAGAGAAAAAGAGAAAGAAAGCAGGCTTCCAGGTCCAGGACTCGAACCTCAATCATCACCACACTACCTGCTGGCCCCGTAGAATGTAATTTTTATGTGATGAACTGTTTGAATTTTTAAATACATATACACAAGTAGAGGTCTTCAAAAAATTTATGGAAAATGTGTATTATGAAAAAATTGTGCAGAGATTTCAATTTTCTGCACTAAAATAAACCTACACTTTAATTGCATTTTTCCATAAACTTTTTGAAGTGCCTCCACATATTTACTATCTTATATAAATAGAAGCAAAAAAGAATAAGCATAACACTTTGTTAGCCCTAAAACCTTAAAAGCCATGGAAACGGTGCTCACTGCAGCAGCAAAAACACTAAAACTGGAACAATACAGAGAAGGTGAACATGGCCCCTGGACAAGGACAACGTGCAAATTCACAAAGCATTTCATAATTTTTTTCTTTCTTTCTTTTTTTATTTTTAAGGTTTTTGCCATAAGCCATGTGCAATCACTGGGAAGAGAGACAGTGAAAGGGAAAGTGAGAACACGCCCCCCAGGAGAATGGCCACCTGCAATCCCTTCTCCTTCATTCTCCATTTGGGATCCTGGGCACCCATGCTTACGCACTCAGCATGATTTTCATGCAGCCAGGTCTGGGACTCGAACTGCGGTCAACCATATGACAATCCATCACCTTAACCACCACACAATCTACTGGCCCCTAAACACTTCATATTTTTAAAGACTACACTGGGAGATTTCACTTGACTTTTGACAAAAGTGGTCAATTCAGCTAACATTATTATTTAATAAACTTTATTTTAAAAATTAAAAACATGGAAAGGAATGAATAAATATGAATACAATGAGTAAACGAACATATCTGGCTAAGTCTCAGTGACATTACAAACTTCTTAAAGTCATGAGAAAAATAATGCATCTACTTGCATATGTGAATTCTTGTGGAGGAATCATTTTTTAAAATAAATGTTCCATCCAAAATTTTAGAAAAAAAATTTTTAAGAGAGATTTTTGCTATTAGAGTGTATATGCTTGCCAGAGAGACAGAAAGTGAGAAATCACCCCCAGGGGAGATGGCCATGCTGCAAACCTTTCTCCTCCATTCTTCTCTCAGGATTTTGGGCATTTATACACACACACCTGGCATGAGTTTTAAGCTGCTGGGTCCAGGACTTGAATCGTGATTGACTACGTGAGAGTCCAGCAATATAATCATTACTTCATCTGCTGGTCCCCATAGAAAAACTCTCTTAAAGAAACATTGTAAGATCTCATTTTATGAAAAGTTAAAGTAGAAATGAAAAGATAAAACCATCAAACGAAACAAAATCTCTTAAGCCATACACAGTAAAGAGACACCTTCCTAAATCACAAAAGAAGAGTTATCAGATCTGTCTTAGGACCTATTCTGTTATTTTTCTAAAGAATTATTTATTTATGGGGCCAGCAGGTGGTGTGGTGTTTAAGGGAGCTGGACTCCCACATGGCCAACTGTAGCTCGAGTGCCACCTGCTAACCCCTGTTCTGTAATTCTTAAGCTGACACTAAACTAACATTTATTTTAAATGTATGGTTTATAGTCCTTAATGTTGAAGATAAATTTCATGTATTTCTCTTTCCTTGAGATATAATACAAAATTTCCTAAAGCAAAAAATAAGGGGGGGGGGGCAGGGGCAAAATCTTATATAAACTAACTTTAACCATACATACAAACACGCTTTTGTATCATGGTTTTAAAAATCATTTGCTGAGGTGGTGTGGTGGTGTGGTGGTTGAGGCGCTGGACACTCCCACATGGCCAACTCCGGTTTGAGACCCAGAAACTGATGGCTTGCTCTCTCCCTCTCTCTCTGTCTGTGTCTCTCTCTGGTCAAATTAAATGAAATAAATTAATTAATTAAATTAAATAAATAATTATTTTTCTAAAAAAGTATTTGCTGAGCCATCTACTGTAGGCCATGCTCATTGTTCCTTTAGCTAATGTCATTCTTGTTACATGGCAGGGATATCCTCCTTCCTTCTATGTGCTGTAAAACAAAGAAACTAAAATAGTGAATGTCTAGCCCTAGGCTATCTTAAAGCTCCAGGTGATAATTTCCAGCAGCATGTATGATGGTGCTTTATGGGAAATGAAAAGAAAAGTAACTAGAAGACTATAGGACCTCTATCCTCAGATCGCAAAAAATTATCAGTAGCCATGGTTCAAGTTCCAGACCTGGCGGCTTTCTCTCTCTCTCTCTCTCTCTCTCTCTCTCTCTCTTACCCTGTCTCTCTCGAGTCAAATTAAAATAAATAAGTAAAGTTAAATTAAAAAAATAATAATTCTTAAAAAAAAAGAAAGAAAGAAACACAACTTTCCCTTATATAGAGGCTTTAACATTCCTGGAATTTTTCTCTTGGCCCTAAGGCAACAAAGAACTGTCTTCTTGAAGATAAGTTTCTCACCCAAAAGAAAACAATAGAGTTTATCTATATGAAAACACAAAATTTAGGCCGTATCTAAATTAGTAGAGCACTCCGTTATCACTACCTATGTCTATAACAAAATCCTACCTTTATTTTTTTAAGAGAATTTTGCTATAGGGCATGTGTGCTCACCAAAGAGAAAGAGAGAAACAGAGAGACAGAAAGCAAGAAACCATCCCCTGGGGGGATGGTGACACCACAAACACTTCTCCATTCTCCTCTCAGGTTCTTGGGCACGCATGCACCCAGTGTGAGGTTTAAGCCACCCTGCCCGAGAATCGAACCCCAGTCGACTATTCTGGAGCCCAGCAATGTAACCACTATGCCATCTGCTGGTCCCAAACCCCTGTCTCAATTCTAATAGTAACCTAAATATTTCAGAAATGTATATTTTTCTAAAAGTTATTTGAAACTTTACTATTCTAAATATTCTAAAATCTATACTACTCTATTATCCTAAATAATCTAAATATTATTCAACAATAATTGCATTGTTCATAGAGACAACCAAGGGGGGGTAGAAAAAGATTGTAACTATAAAATTTAATTCACATCTATAAAATTATCAAGAAAAAGGTGATAGGCTTGAGTAACTTATCTATTACTGTCTCCAAAATATTTTAACAAATTCTTGACACCTTAAAAACAGAGGTAGAATTCTCTTTTTTATTTTTTGGTATAGGGCATGTGCACTCACCAAAAAGACAGAGAATGACAGAGAGACAGAAAAAAAAATAATATGCCCTCCTCTCCTTCCTCCTCCTCCCCCAACAAAAGATGTCCCTATCCTAATGCCAAGAACCTGTGAGTACATCAGGTTATATGATGAGGAGTAATTGAGATTGCCAATGGAAATACTCATCAGTGGACTTGCTAATCATGAACTTTAGGGATATTATCTTGGGCCCAATGAAATCACATGTGATCTTATGTGTTGAAAAGGGAGGCAACAGCATGAATATCAGAGTGAGCAGTGTGAGGATTTGAACCACCATTGCTGGTTTTGAAGATGAAAGTGTGCCATGAGCCCAGAATGTGGAATATGGAAAAGATAAGGAAATAGATTCTCTCCCAGAGCCTCCAAATAAATGAAACCCTGCCAACATGCTCATTTTATCCATAGTTCAGTGAGACTCATGTCAGACTTTCGACCTCCAGAACCAAAAGATACTGAGTAATGTTTTAAGCCATCAAGTTTGTGCTAATCCTGTAGAGCCACATGAGGAAACTAACACACTCGTGCATCCAACAGCACTCCTCACTCTTCATCCCTGCCTGGGGGTCACAAACTGGGAAGTACAAAATCAGAGGCAGAAACCGGGCAGCAAAAGCAGAGCTGTAGCCACCTAAAGTAGTCCTTCGGCTAGTGCACAGAGCAGTACCTACACACAAAATCTACACAAGGGGCCCAGCCTGATAGTACAGCTGGTAACAAACTGGACCACAGTGCTGGTAGCCATATGGTCAACAGTGGATTTGGGTCCCTGGGTCAGCCTGAAAATAGTCTGGGCACATGTGCACATGCCCCAGACTGTTTTTTTTTTTTTTTTTTTTTTTTTTTTAGGTTTTGCCATAGGACATGTGTGCTTGCCAGAGGAAAACAGAGAAAAACAGTGAGAATGAAAGAGAAATCACCCCCCAGCGGGGACAGTGTGCCACAATCCCTTTCTTCTCCATTTTCCTAGGGTTTGGAGCACATATCCCTGGCATGATTTTTCAGGTTGCCAAATCCAGGGCTCCAACTACAGGTGGTCATGTGGGAGTCCAGTGCCTTAACCACCATGCCATCTGCTGACCCCATGCCCAAAATCTTGACTAGCTGGACGGCTGGGTAAAAGGGGTCACAGTGTGGCCCTGCTTCTCTCTTTCTCTTTCTATCTCTCTTTCTCATGTGTGTGCAGACGCACACATACTATTATGAATAAAATAATTTTTTAAAAAGATCTTCACCAGAGGCAATTCCATAGAAACTGACCCGAGGGACCAGCAGTTAGCCTAATGGCTACACTAGACTCCCATGTAGTAGACCATGGTTCGCGTCCCGGACCTGGTGGCTTAAAACTCACACTGGGCACATGTGTGTGCATGCCCAAGATCCTGAGAGGAGAATGGAGGAGAAGAGATTGCGGCGTGGCCATCCTCCCTGGGGGTGATTTCTCACCTTCTATCTCTCTGTCTCTCTGTGTCTAGCTGGCAACCGCACGCCCCCTATGGCAAAAACCTCTCTCCAAAAAAAAAAAAAAAAAAGGAAAGAAAGAAAGAAACTGACCCAAAAGGAAGGACACTGGAGCCAAAATGGCCCTTTCTCTATTTCATGGGTGAAGCACAAGGGAGACCTTGAGGAAAAGCAGGTCACAATCAGGAAATACCTTTTGCAGGTTATCAGCTCAGTTTTTTTTGTTTTTGTTTTTTTTTGGAGAGATTTTCACTGTAGGGCGCGTGCGCTTGCCAGACAGACAGAGAGAGACATAGAGACAGAAAGCGAGAAATTACCCCCCAGGGGGGATGGTCACGCCACAATCCCTTCTCTTCCATTCTCCTCTCGGGATCTTGGGCACGCACGCACACGCGCCCGGCGTGAGTTTTAAGCCACCGGGTCCGGGACACGAACCGCGGTCGACTACGTGGGAGTCCAGCGACATAGCCATTACGCTAACTGCTGGTTCCCGCAGCTCAGTTTTCAATCCAGAATCTGCTAGTGTGAGTCCAATGAGAGGGAAGAATCACTCACACACACAGTCTTCCATCATGACTACACAAGAAAGAAGAGTGAATGCAGCTTTTGGCTGAAGAATCTTAAATATTAAGACCAATGAAGGGAATTTTGTTATAACTCAATGTCCTGGGTTATCTGGAAAATCAGGATGCCGTTTTGCACAGAAAAACAAAACAAAACAAAACAAAAAAAATACTTTTTTGACTTTTCCGACAACTCAATAGTTCCTCAGCAGAGTCAAAATCGTTCCAA